GGATATTTCCTAAGTTTCAATCCTTATTTTTCTTCTCGTTGCTCTCATTGCTATTATCTTTCTATTAATGGCTGGAATTCATTTTGATGGAGTTGAGTATCTCTCTAAGGTTGGATCATAGTCAATAGGTAAATATTTCCTTGGCTTCCAGCTTCATATTTTTAACTCTGCTGAAAATCTTCATCAAAGCATCCATAATGCACCCTGAGAATCCTTGAAATCAATGTGTCACAATTCTATCTCATTCTCCCAGAAAACTCCTCTTCTTTTGAATTCTCTTCCTCCATCACCACCACGTACATCACGTGGCCCCCAATAAATTGCCAAGCCCTAAGGACCTCTGTGGTGTCTCTCATATTTATCCCTTCCTTTACTTTCTCAGTAAATCAATATAGTCTGTGGCCTCAGTACTCATGGGCAAGGCTCTACCTTCTAACTCTTCTCAATTTCTTCCTAAATTCATCCTACCAAATCTATTTGACTCACGGTAGCCACAGTGATCTCTATAATGTATGACTCTAACTAGTTGAGAAATTTTTTAATATCACTCTGCAGTTATGACAACCAATACACCAAACTGAACCCCTTATCTTTCTCCAACCTCTACTTCTTTCTCTTGTATTCTCTGCTTCATGTGATGACACTCCCCCAAAAATGTAAGCTACATGCCTGTTTTCTTCCTGGCTGTATCCTCACCTCTTAGAATATTTATCAGCTGGTAGGCACTAAGGAAATATTTCTTGAATAAATTAATAAGTGGATAAGACACTCTTTTCTCTCTAATTACAATCACTAAGTTTTATGTATTTTATTCTACAAAATATTGTAGGAAATTTCTACTTTATACTTTCTCCTCTCTATCTCTCCTACCCCAAGTCTGTTTACCTCTTATCATTTCTTGCCTGGAGTATATGTCAACAGCCTTCTCACTGATGGATGTTTTATCTAATAACCATGCCACTTCTCTGTTTAGAACCCATCAATGGTTCCCTACAATAAAGTCTTGGATTTTAAGTCTGGGATTAAAACTCTCTATGACCCATGTGCTATTTTTGTAGCATCGTATTGAGCCACTCTCTGCCTTAACTTCATATTCTGCCTTGTTATACTTGGACTCTTACCTTTGTCCACCTTCTTCCCCAGAGTAAACAACTGTCTCAATTTGTCCAGGACTGAGGGAGTTCCCCAGATCCAGAATTTTCAGTGCTAAATTGCAAAAGTCTGGGGAAAATCAGGACCATTCTAACATACTCTAGAGGGTTTCTAGCCTCCGTGTCTTTAGGCCATAAGTCATCTTTCCCCGAAATTCTATTTCTTCCCTTCTTTGTCTGTCCAAGTCTTCCTAATCTTTCAAAATTATGTCAGGAAGCACTTTTATATTAATAAGTCCCCTGCATTAACCTTGAAACAGGATGGTCTGGCAATGATTCCCCAAAGCACAAAAACTATCATATTTATCTTTGATTTCCTAGAAACTCTTGAAATGCTTGATTTGTATCAAGCAATTAATAAATATGTACTAACTGAGTAAATTACCTTGCAACAGAATAAACTCTGAAATCCATAGTTTGACTTTCAAGTTCCTACAGGAACAAGCACCCCCCTCCCCCAACCATTAATTCATTTCAATTAGATTCAATGGAATTACATTCAATTTAACCAAGATTTATTGAGTGTCCACAAGTTTTAAGACTTAATTCTCTTTTGTAAAACTTTCTATTATTTACTCCTAATTGAATCATTTTTCAAATGTGCCACTGTTTTGTCTCTACTACAAGACCATCCACAACATACCCTTACCTGCATCTCGACCTCTTCGAATCCATCACATCTGCTAAGGCTCAGATTACCTGCAACATCCTCCATGAAGACTAATTTGATTGTCAGTCCTAAGTAATATCTTTACCTGTCTACTGTAATAGTTCCTTGCTAGGGACTTTCCAACATTCCTTGATACCTTTTGAGTTACACTTTATTATTTGTAGTCATTGTCTTTTATTCCTCATTAGACATGTACTGATCTCTGTATCTTCTTCATTATCAAATTCAATGCCTTGTGCATTTATTGAACTGAATGTTAATCTGTGTTTTAGGATAATAAATTAAGAATGTGGCATGTTCTTTGAAATCCAAATGGGCAGTGAAAATGTCTATGCCCACTGAACATAAAATGATTGTGCTACACACCATCTGGTGAGAAGTAGGCAGAATGAAAAGTATTTTACCTTTCTTTCTTATAAGTATGAATTGGAAATTTCTGCTGTAGGTAACTAAATGCAATGGCAGCAAGTTTTCTCTTGAAAAGAATAATCCACACAGAAAAAAATATTTTTTTTATTATTTAGCAACTAAAAGTCAAATATGCTTCATTTCAATTTAAAGTTGTCTTAGCTTATTAAATTCCTGCATCCTCTTTTATAAATTGTTGCCATGGAAACGGTGTTTTAGATTTTTTTTTATCTTCCTTTAAATGTCACATCTGTTATCATGCTATATATAACAGCATTACATACCCACACAAAAAGGACACAGACATTTTTACTGGTTATGAAAATCAAAGTTAATTTTTTATATTGCAAATATACTGTCGTTTATACCAGTGGCTAATATTTGGAAAATAACTGGGAACAGTAAAACATTTTCGATTTAAAATATTTAATGGAGGCAATTTACAATCTGAAAACCTAAATTATTTTTGTTTTACAAAAATGTTATTTTCAAGTATTCAGCAAGTTGCCACAGAGTTCTGTTATTTTGAAGTGTCTTATGAACTTACACTTGTCTTTTAGATTTGCTCATGTAAATAATAGCCCCTTCAAGTAATGTCAGTTCTGTTAAGGGGCTTCACTCTTTCTTAAATTCCTAAGTTAGCCTTTGTACTTTTCACCCACAAAATGAGACGACGGAATCCATCCTTTCACCCCCATTCTGCCATATAATTATGTTCTTAATCCCTTTCATAAAGACATCGCCTTAGCTGTTTATTTTCCTTTCAGACAAAGAGTATGTCATCATCACCAGGTAAAATGCATTGAAGAAAGAGCCAAAGATTAGATGTGAAGAATCCTGACTGGTAGCAGTTTATGTTGAAATGTGAGTTTTCACCATTCAAAGGAATCAGCAAAGATTAATACCTGCAGGGCCTTTTCTTTAAAATCAATTATGTGACCAACAGCACAGATTCATATTTTCAACCTGGGTCAGCAAATCTGTTATTATTCAAGATTCTACTTCTTACCTGGTGTCTGCCCTGGAGTGAATCTTATGGAATGTGAGTACTGCACCTTTCCCCACGGCTAGTTCCTTCTGCAGGGTCAGCGTGATGGTAAATATTTTAGAAAAGATTGTGCATGTAAACTAATTCAGGATTAATTATTCCTTCTATGAGTGGCTTTCTGAGTAAACCCAGAATTAACTTGATCAAATTCATTTACTTGGGTAACAAATATCATCTGAACACTTCTGGGGAGAGGACTCTGTGTTAGGAAAACATATTGGACATAAAAACTTTCAGCATATTATGAAAGATGGAGCTAAACAGCATAGTAAATCAAAAGTTGATAAGCATCACAAAAATATTTTAAAAAATAATTGGGAATTCAGTGGTGTGTTTCTGAATGAGTCATCACAGAACAGCATGAGCAGAGACCTCGAGGTAGGGTAATGCATAGCCTTGAGGCTTGAGAGGATATTGATGTCAATTACAGACATGGCACGTCAGGAGGAATTTATGGTTAAGAGGATATCCTTTTAGATGTCTTTTTAGACATGCTAAATTTGATTTGCTCATGAGGCATTCAGGGAGATCTCTTCAGCCTGCAGCTATCAAAGCAAAACTGGAGCTCAGGAAAGAGATTAGGAAAATATATAAAAATGTGATGGTCAACTGCACTAAAATGTGGTTGAAACATTGGAGACCACTAGATCATGAAAGAAGTTGGTATCAAGATCAGTAAGAAGATAGTGTAACAGTTGTTAAGGAAACAGAGAATAACAAGCAGACAACAATAATAATATAAAAGAAGGACAACTTTGAGAATGTTTACAGTAAAGGTGACAAATTTAGAGTTAGAATGAAAACCATGAGAGTACAGTATGATAGAAGGCAACAAAAGGTGTGGAAACTTATAGAAAGGAAAGAGTCTTTCCGCTCCATCTGTACGAGGATAGGGATTACGAAGCTACTAATACATTTGGACATTTAGTGATGTTTTATGTATCAGGTTTACTGGAGTGCAGGGGAAAAAAGAATGCATAGAGCTAGAGATTATGTGAAGAAGCAAGTATGCATTATCATTTAAAATGTTTCAATGAAAAGAGGCAATTGCATCAATAATAGACTTGTGTGAGTAACAGAAATTGGAAGACCACAGGCTTAAAGATTCATAGGCTTCAAGACAAAAATATAAGATGATAGTCTCATATTTTAAATTCTGACTTCTGACTGCAGTGTGTATATATATATATATAGTTTAGTTTATGACTTTTGGGGGCATCTGTCTCATTCTAGTGTGGTTATTCTTCTGTGAGAGGTACAGCTTACATGATCTCACATGATGGTGCCTTCTTAGGAGAGAGAACCAGAGCAACTCTTAAAGCCAGACTAATGATTGCAAAGAGAGGCAAGGTCTCCAAGTATGTCTAATATAAAAAGTTTTAATATAGTCTTAACTGGCTAAGAGTGTATTAGCACTCCCTCTACTTTACTGAATATTCATCTCTTCTTTATAGCTGAGTGTTTCTTTGATGAATGCTTAGAGGTAGAATTTATCCTCGTTTGAATTCGTGTATAAGAATATATATATGTATATATATATATATTCAAGTCTTTTTAAAAATGAGAATCCAGCAGGTAACTTTCCTTTCCCAAACAGAGATTTTCTGTTTTAAGAAATCTATACAATGTAGGCATGAAAATCAATCACATTCATGGAAGATAACATACATAATAATCATATTTTCCCCACTTTGCTCGTAGAGCATACAAAGTTTTAATTAAAACCAAGTAAAAAATGTTTTCCCAGGCCTCACACACTGGAAAGAGTCAGGAAAGTCTCAAGAACTTGGGCAAAAGATTTTTTAGAAGCTTACAAAATGGATTTATGAAGTGGGCTTGTCCTTTCTGCAACCTGAAGGCAGCTTCCTTCACTCTTTGAAGCCTCCATCAGGCCCACAGCCAGGTGTGACACAGACCTCATTCCTCCTGCAGAGATCGGCTCTCTTTGTGTTTGTGCTCCAGGGCATGTTTCAAAACTGATAGATCAAGTTCTTGGTTCAGCCTGTCTTTAAAAAAACAGGCAATTTATAAATGAGCTATCTCGGCCCTGAGAAAAATATTTGTTGGATCATTACTTACGGAATGTTCTGATCTTCAATTCTCTGCATACCATATTTTGTACAGGTCCTGAACGCTGAATTATTAACTGGATTTGAGAAAGAAGAGAAGAGAATTAGCAATTAGCTGAAATTTTTGCTTTGATTTATCCAGTCTGTCAAAGAAAGTATTGGAGACCTAAAAAAAAAATCTACTCTGAGAGAAAGTGTTTCTAAAAGTGTGATTCAAAATCCATGCTGTAAATACTTATCACATAAATTCTGACAGTCCTCTGTTGTGTGTGATTTGAGAGAAAAAAGAGGGCATGGTATAAAATATACTATGCTTTTGCTTTTCAATATATGAAAAAGAAGATTTCAAGAAAGTGTTTAAAGGTTAAAATGTGCATGCATCGAAAATCAAGAGAAACAAAATGAGCTTTGAAAAAGTTTTAAATAATATTTTGTTTGAAGTACTTTCTAAATTAGAAAAAACAGATTAGAACTTTTTTTTTTGACTTTAATAGGAATGAAACAACATGGAAATACCTTGGACAATTTATGATAAGAAGTAAGTTGAGTCAAAGGATAAATACTACTGACTTTTACTAAATTCTCTCTTGAATTTTAGGAAACAAAAATAGTTTTAAAACTCTGGTTGTTTTGACCAATACAAGTGCCATAAGAACTAGAGATTTGCTTGCTTCAACAGACTAATGAACTCTTAATTTATTTTCAAATATATTTTGCTATAATATTATCTATTATTTTGAAAATCTGAGTTTTATTTTTACATACGGGCAGGATCTCAAATGTAGCATGGTTAATTGTATGGGGCATCAATAATTATCTTTATAATAGCTTCTATTATACCTTGTTATCGTTGTTATTGCAGTGGCAGAGTTATTGCTTTTGAGCAGTGGCCCTACAGGATTCTGTTGTGAGTCATGTTCCAATTACATCAAACATGTATTGTGAGGTAGAATCTTGTCAACTCAGGATGAGTTATTAGGATGAGTTATTCAAACCCAAATGTTGTTAAGGAAAACCAAAAACCTCTCTTTTAAATATGGCAAAGTTTAATGAAGGAGTCATCTATAAACTTTAACCACTACCTGATCTTCCTTATCCCCACTTCAGTGGCTTGATATTATAATTGTCCAAAATTTCCAACACCTAGAAGCTTCCAGAATTTTTGAACTGAAGCACGATATTTTGATTCTAGTCACTGGAAACTTAGTCATGAATGTTAATTTAGGGAATGCATCAAAGATTAGTTATGAAGTCTTAAGAGTCTAAATAAATTCCTGACCCTGAACAGCACTGGTTTTCTTGGCAGCAAATCTAATTTAAGATCTATAAAAGGAAATAAGTAAAAGCAGAAATCAGTTGTCTGACTTTTGTATATTTTTTATTTTTAATCTCTCTCTTGGTAATATTGAAAAACAATCAGAAGCAGCAAATTCCCAGTAACATTTAAAAAAGGATGTTTCTCTCACTTCTAAACTTTCTTTCGCCATGCATAGTTTCTGCCTTTTAGATATTTATATTTTTTGTAGCATCTTTCAATTTATTTTGTGTATTATATTTTTCTTTGATTTGTAACTATTCTTCATGTGACTTCAATTTGTTGAGAAAGTTTATAGTGCTTGCTTAATTAAATATATCACAGCTTTGTGACCCAAAGTTCCTGAAACTAAATTCCAGCCTTGGATGTCATAATTTGAGTGAATAAAGAGAAAGATTTGGAAATTCAACAAATAAGTACTGAATAACCACTGTGTTCAAAGTTCTTTGTTTAATGCCACAGGTGCAAATAGAAAAATAGTCACTCAGGAAGCTTTTGATGCCTGTAGTGGGGGCATTGTATCTCAAAAACAAGTCAGAATAAGCTAACTGCCATCACATAAGGGTTTAAAAATGATTGAGAGGATTAGAAAAGACAAATCTGAAGGAGGTGAAATTTGAACCAGTGGTCTTCAGAGATAAGCATAGTTTTGACATGATGTCTGGGAGGAAGAAAGGTAGCAGGAATTCCTGGGAGTGGATGAAGCATGAGTAATTTGTTAGAAGAGGATAATGATGGGGAGCACATTGGTAGGTGAACATAAGTGGATTATCAGATAAGCATTGGGGAACAGTGGGATAAAAAGCTGGAGAGAGAGATGTAAAGTCCACCTTCTATAAGACTTTAATATGTGATAAGATATACTCAAAGAGGTCATTGCATGTCTCTAAAGAGAGACCTGGTAACTTCAAAAAATATAATAATTGGGCACTGGTGTTTTCAGTGGATTAGAGCAGAAAGGCCTGCAGCAAGAAGACAATTGATGAGGATTTACCATAAGCATTGTAGTTTAAATGGGATTAAAAAGCATTGTGGACATAGACTCTCCAGAATTTTCAATTGTATAAAGATGGCTCACAATGGAGAAGTCATAAATAATAAAGTTTTGTGCCTGGATAAATGAGCAAATAGAGGCATCTTGGAAGGAAATCCAATGGTTAGGAGGAAGAGGTAGCTCTGAGCAAGAAAGTGCGGAGTTTTCTTTGGTCATGTCATCCTGTGGCTGCAGTGGAGGCGTCCAGGAGGCAATGTATTGCACTCTGCTGAAATCACAGGTCTAGAGCTTGGGAAAGAAGACATGTAGACTGGACGCATCACTCCCATAGATGAGACTGCTGAAGACCATGAGCATAGGCAAGAAAGCTGAGGGATAGAGTATGGAAGGAAAGATGTGTACTGAGAGAGTAAACCTTGAGAAATGTGTTTAAAGGAGGGTGTGGTGAAAGAAAATGTAGTTAAACAGCAATCAAAAAAAAAAATTCCAAAACTGTATGGGGAAAGAAAATCAAATGATTCTATCATGGAGGCCCGGGAAAGAGAGAACAAGAATGAAAAGAGCTGGGTAAATCGTTACGGCGTTAGAGATTGGGAGGCCCTGGGTACATTAGTAAGAGGAGCTTTACCAGATAAGTGGGAGAGAAAGCAGATCACAGAAAGGTAGTAGAAAGAGTGGGTGGTGTGGTGCCAGGAATATTGAGTGTAGATACCTTTCAAGTGATTTGATCATGGACAAAATTGACTGATAGCTTGAATAAAACAGGACTGTATGAATCCATTTATTGGAGGAAGCTATATGAGTAGGTAGGAAGACAATACACAAGAAATTCATAGAATTATATATGAGAAAAAGTGTAGTTGAATAACAAAGTTCTTAAAGAGTAAGAGATTCAGAGTACAGGCAGATGAGTACAGGCAGTATGTATTAGCACCATTTTTGTTTCCAAGATAAAGTAAATGTGAAGAGGTGTGTATGTTTATATGTAAACAAATTTTTTTTTTTCATTTTCAGTTGATGGCATAGGTACTGTTGAGATCATTGGTGTCCAGATAAGGTTGAGAATTTTGGGGCAAAGTTTTTAAAGGTGATATAAGAAGTATCAGTTCAGGGCTACATTGAATATATATGTTTGCTCTTGACTTTGATCTTTATTATTTTTCTACTTCACTAGTATTACATCCTTCTGATTATTTGACAACATAGAAATAATCTAGTTAGTTTTTTAGTGAATCCCATTAGTGAAAAAAAAGGATTATATATATTTACTCATAAAACTCTTGATTTTTTTTGTTTTTGTAATTTTCGTCAAACTTCAAAAATAATTTTTCTCTTCACTTTGATTTGTGCATATATTCTTCATGTGCTTAATTCTTAGAATGGATGAAGTCACTATTAACAACATTAAAACAATTAGCCATACAATATATTACGATTATCCATTTAAATATGTGGTCTATGTGTATGTATATCCATATACTATATAACTTTGTACATATGTAACCATATAACACAATTATCAATTTACATCACATAGTGTATGTATGATTTATCAGGTATTCATAAAAATTCTATTATTAATAGATTTATTAGATTTGAGAGACATTACTAAAAAAGATACAATTTTGACATCTGAAATTACTACACATACACACACAAAATTGTAAAATTTAATGAGAAGATATATTCAATCAGACCTCACAATAGATTTCTTTCTATACTTTTGAGCTGCAAATGCTTTGATACTCTTACGCTTTCCAAAGACAATATTTAAACTTAAATGCTGATTGAACCATAATTTCAAGAGTCGGCATAAATTATTTTTGTTAATATTTAGAAATAGCCAGTTCTTTTCAACTTCTTAACTTCCAGTGGTCTACATTCTCCAGTCTTTCTTGTAACTAAATGCAACAACGTGTGTTAAGATTTGGCCCATATAACATGGGGAAAAGTGACATACTTCTCCATTTCCATGCACAGCTATGAAACACTGCATGTAATCTTCCACACTTTCTCTCTAGTTGGATGACCTGAAAACAAGGGACACTACGATGATGTTGGAGGTGGAAAGACAAAAGGATATCAAATCCCTGATATACTGTTTTGGGAAAAGCCACTGAAATGAGACACTGGATGATGCTTTCCAGCTTTGGATTTTGTGTTAACAAGAAGTAAACATTTGGCATGCTAATGCTTTCATTATATTTTTAAATGTATAAAATACTCAAATATTACAAGATTCCTTTAAATAAACTGTATACAGTGCAGACACATGACAAAATTTAAATTCAAACCAATAATAACATCCAAGGAGGCATGCTATAATCTAAAAGTGCGATGAGCAATCACAGCTGGCAACGCCCATGTGAAGACCAGTCACATCTTTATGGGCTCCCTGCATTATCCAGGACATTCTCAGGATTGTTTTAAACAATTTTATTTCTCAGTGATTGGATAGAAAATTGATAAAAGATAATATAACCACAATTCTATTTTCATTCCTGTCATTTTCCTGAACTTTCCTTTAGACAGCACAAAAATACCATTTCTATACTAAACCATATGCCTTTGAATGTGGTCCACTGAGACATTCTGACACTTGAGTAAGAGAAAAAAAATATTCAGCCAATTAAAAGAGATAATTTCCTCCATTCCAGTTACAGGTCATATCGAGTTTTAATGACCACAGCCGAGAAATATGCAAATTTATCTTCATATTTTCTTATTGTGGACTGACTCTTACCTAGAGAAGAAAAAAAATCCTTTACCTTGTAAAATTCTTCCAACGTGATAGATCTCAAGTTGAAGATTCAGGAAAAAATAAGACTTTAACTTAAAAGTAATCATCATCTTTTTTTTTTAAGATAACATGTGAAATATTTTTAACTATTTCTATGAGATCTTTTGAAGTCTTCAAATATCTTTGAATCCATGAGTTAAAACTAATTCATAGTTTAAATTGATAATCCTGAAATTAAATACTCCCTAAATGTGGTAATACTTTGCAATGAGGTAAGGGGAGGAAGATATGCCAGGTGTGAAGGAGAGAAGTTGTAAGAATAGTATCCCCAGGTAGTTAACTTGTACAGATATCATACAATGATAACTTTAACATCAATTGAAAATGCACAAATCTTCAAATAACAGTAAGAAATGTTTCAGGTATGCCAGCAGACTTTGCAAAGAACACTGATGCAGAATCTTCCCACGGAACAAGGTCAGTACAAAGTCTTATTGTAATCAATGTTGCTATTTGCAGCTTTGCTTGATTGGAACTTGATGATGAGATAGCAATTTCTCATCATTTATACATTACGCATCAAAAATTGACACATTTTCTGCATAGTTAGCTTTAAAAAAAAATCCCATTGCATTTTAAGTACTAAAACCAAAGAGACAAACCAAGGACATGCTGGTCTCCTTAATCAATCAGAGAGTTACTGTTAACCATTATGAATACCAATGTTAATGTCCAAATACTTTGTTTCTTAGGCTCCATTATAAATCCTTTTAGTTTGGTTCTGAAACCTGGATAGACATTGTGCAGGGAAGATAGCAAGAGCAAGATAGGTATAGAGATAAAATTTT